GTTACTATCCAAATCAATAGTTCAAGAAATAAAGTCATGAGAGAAGTGGACTCGTGTGGCTTGAATCATAGTAACGCCCCACCACGAGGGAGTGAAAGCAGAGATTATTCAGAATATATTTCCTCACAGTCTGAATCATCTCATTTTGAATAGTTTTTGAAATATACATCGCGTTGCGCGAAATACAACTGCAAAATCAAACGGCGAACAGTCTTCTTTTCTGCAAGTAGGATTTCCACGAGAAGCCATGATAATTACTAGCAATTTAGATAATTTAGATGTGCTTAAGCGCTTTGTCTTTTTCTATTACATTTAATACAGTAGTTAATATAAACAGGTCACGCTTCACGCTCTTTGGTTTTGTCCTTGCCAGTGCCAACATGTGCCAGATAGTTAGCTAGCCAATAGAAATTGACTTTGACTAGTTCCAAAACACAAAGATCACCAGTGCAAGCCAATAAGAATCTTGTTTGAGTAGTTCCATATGCAAATGTTAGTGGATCGATGTCAAAATCCCGTGGGTCCCTACCCTAAGGTTTTTTCATGTTTTTTTAAGCGAAAAAAAGCGAAAACAAACAAAAATAAACAATGAATTTTAAAGAAATCTGATCAAAATAAGAAAAATAACTAATTGTCATAACACGATAATAATTGGATTTAATCAAAGTTATAATTTTTAGAATAATTTGAATAGCATGGATCCTCGCTCGTGTTAATCAATAAAACATGCAGAAATGCAATTATTGCGCGAAAGCTACGACAAGTGCACAGTCATTCTCTGTGCAAATGCCTGAGTGTTTGTCTGACTCACCATAGGGGGGCAGATCGGATTACTCTATTTTTAGAACCTACGCTATTTAATGTCAGTCTCAACAGGGATTCCATCAAAACCAAAATATACCCAATTTTGAGAAATTTCATATGTATTTTACTTGAATTAACAAACAGCTATAAAAAACATATTAAATATTTTGAATCTGAGGTTATGTTTTAAGTTTTATTGTTTATTAACAAATTTGTTAACCATTAAATTTGAGTCTATACATTACATGTATCCGCCTTGTGTATTGACATGCGTATGTGCTTACCTCGAATTTTCCACAGTTCCAATAAAAACAACGTCTGAATCAGAATCAGAATTTTCGTTGTCCTCACTTGTTCTCGTTCTAATTGGAAGAATAATCTAAAAATATTAACTTTTAACTTTAGTTTTTAAATTTGAGTTGACCTTGAGTAGGCAGTGGAACTCATATGTCATATTATCGTATGAGGAAGTAGCTGATCCCATTATGTCATATTATATATACAATTACACCAAACATAGGTATATATAAGCACATTAGAGATAAAGTGAGTCGATATT